GTTGCCAATCTGCCGTTAGAGTGTGCGTGCGCAGATTTTGTTCGGTTTCTGCCGACAATCTGACGTCAAGTCATGTTAGCAGATCTTGCTCGGTTTCTGCAGCCAATCTGCTGTCAGATTTTGTGAGCAAGATCTGCTCAATTTTTGGCACCAATTTGTAGACTTAATCAATAATAACAACTTCTGTATCAGATTTGTAGCCTTTTTGTTGACAACAGGTGATAGCAGACACTTGCATGATCTGCTTTTGACAGACTTGGCTATCTGGGTTGTTAAATGGTAGAAGGAAGACACTTTGACAATTTTATTAATTGAAAAAAATGGAAAACAATCTTAAAAGATGTAACTTACACACACACACACACACACACACACAAAATAGTTTGGAATCATTAAATACTACTTAAAGAATATTGGGAGTGACAAACCGTGCATGGAGTTCTTATTTCTAGTGAGATAAACATACGCACACAACAAAGTTCGACCGTGCAATCTCCGCGGCAATACTGTGACTTTCAAGCCTTATAACTCGAAATATATTTAAAAAAGTACCTTGTTACAGTATGTTGGGAAGTTCTCGAAATAAGCTAAGCCAAGAATATACAATAAAAAAATGGTAATTCCATTTAAAAAAATGTAGCTTATCTTACAATCTTTATAGATGATCTTGGAGACTCTGCTTAAAGTCAAACTCTTATCACTAGTAGATAGATTTTTAAGCCTTTGCTTTTTATATTATGTATAATTTATATATTATTTATAGGTTTTGTTGTAGTTGATTGTTTTCGAGATATTTTACTATTTCTGGATTTTTAGAGAATCCTATATATATACTATGTAATAAAATTAAACTCTGTAAGTTTAATTTATTTCTAGGAACTTGCAAAACGATTTGCTTTATCCTTTGGTTTAGATGCCGTAAAAAATCGTGAAGCAATTACGGCTTTGCATCGTGCAGGCGTATTATTTGCTATAACTCCACCGGACGGTGTTGAACAGGATCCTACAGGTCCTCCACCGAATTTACCATTTCTCGAGATACTATCAGAATTTACAAATAAACTTCTCAAACAGGATAAACGTGTTGTGTAAGTTTATTGTATCATACATCTATCTTTAAAGTTTTTTTCTACACTTATTTTTCTTATCATGGTGCATTTTTATTTCAGACTCAACTTTCTAGACCGACGATTGCAAGCTGGAATGCCATCTTCACGAGGAGAAGATTGGCAACCTTTATTATTATACAGAAATAGTTTATTACACGGTGAAACCGATCAAGTGCCGGTGACCATTAAACGAGCTTACACGAGGCGCAAAAGAGATCATTTAGCCGGTATAAAATTTTATTTTATTATCATAATTATTTGTAGAAAACCGTGTATTTTTTTACATACTAAAAGACAAATCATCATCATGATCATAATTAGAGGAAGAATCAGACTTATACATTAGTTGTATGTTATCTTATTTTTATTACATAAAAAATATAATTTTCTTTTTTTTACAGAGGAAGAAGAAGCCGATGAACCTGATGAAGGTTCTGATCATGAGTTTGCAGGGTGAGTTAGGTGTATCTATAAATAGAGTCTAATAGGATGTTACTAAAATAAAAAAGGCCAAGATTTTAGGAATGTATTTTATTCAGTGTAATTATAAAAGATATGCCATATAAACAGATATAGACATGCAACTGCTTTGGTTTCAAAATTCATATCAGAGAATATATTCATGCGTTGTATATTAGTGACACAAATATTTATTTTATGTATAAGTGAGCAAATGTGACATTTTTTATCACTATAAGAATATAATACATCCCTAAAGATAAATTCTTTATTTTAGATACATCTAGTATATAAATTTTTTTTCTGTTACACCTGTTTTTAGTATAAATTTTTTTCTGTCACAGATATTACCTGTTATTATAGATACTAACGTAATATACTAAATAGTTACACATATAGCTATTTAAAATTATATAAAACAGAATTAGCAACAACAAATATCTCGATTTCTGCAACATATAAAATTAACTGTTTATCTTCACTTATTTTTACAATGTAAACTGTATAGAAAGTATTTTATAAAATTAAAGCACAGATAATTTTATGCATATTAAAGAAGCTTATATATTTGCGTTTCTTTTTTTGCTATAAAATATTATTGATGTTTTTAAATTTGTACAAGTTGATAGTAGTTATGTTACTGATGTTTGCAATAGTTTTTTACATTTCTATTATCTCTCTATATTATTAATATTTTTATGAAATTTTAATGTTACTCTCTTTTGAATGAAAAAAATGAACTGTTCACAGGAACTTCATATGTAATATTAAAAGTTCTTAAATAATCGTGTGCGTACGTGTGCCTACCATACATACATACACACATATAATTATTATACAATTTTCAAATATTAAAGTTTGAGTATTACTGGACAAGTAAATATTTTTTAAATAAAACAAACATTATTTACGATCTTGTGTTATACAATTCAATTGCATGTTTATATTTTATATCTATATATCATCAATTTACTATTATCAATTTAAGTTTTTAAATAAAAGTTTACTATTTTTCTATTTTTAACACGTTGAGTGCCGTAAGGGTTACCGGTGACCGGCGATGCCAATCTTAATAAAAACACATAATTCAAGTGAATGACAATACTTTAAACATTTTTACTATTATTATCGTTATTACAAAACTGTAAAAAAAACTAATGCACTATAAAACAAAAATATTTTTATTTAAAATCATACACGTTATACGCGCATGTTGCAATGTGAATTTTCTTCACATCCGAAACTTTCTTCACTATCCGATAGTATTCGACAGCGTTTATAATGGTGAAAGCGAATCGTTAGATGAATTACTTGAAACACTATCTTCGTTTGACGACATATTAATTTTAAGGGCTATTTAAATATTAAAAATAGGAAATAAAATGCAAAAATTAATGTAGTGTGTAGAAATATAACGGATATCATTACTTGATAGTTCAACAATCAAAGAATGAGCAAAGTAAAAACCAATTGAGACAACCGACTTTTAAAGTAAACAATAAATGAAACATAGCGTGAGATCGAAAAAACGCATCACAGCGCCGTGGGGGTCATTAGTGACCCTTAGTAAAATAAATGCATAAAACATGATAATGTAGTTCAACTTAGATGTTGTACATAATATTTTACAATAATATGCATCGCATAGCAAAAAATTCATTCCGGCGCTGTGGACGTCACGTAAAATTGGCGCGGCACTTAACGTGTTAAATAAAAATTTTATATTTTTTCTACGTATTTGCATGAGTAGTAAGTTTTTAAATAAATTCCTTGTTACAGGCAACTTAATTAATATAGAAAGAGAATAGGGCTTCTAAGCGTTCGAGTATCCATATATCCGAGATTACGATTTGTGAAAACTCAAATCCGCATTAGTTAGAATATTTTTGTAATTTATGTTAGAAAATGTTATTGGCAAAATTAATATTCGAATCTCCGGATATTCGGATAGTGTCAGATTTGAGCACATTTTGAAGTCCTAGAGTATAATGTATAACAAATCAAATATATAAAAAGTACATCTGTGTGGAACAAATATATGATACATTCTTAGTCTTTCTATTACATATATTTATAAAATTTGATTGTTTAAATAAAGCAGATATTAAAATGTGTGTGTTGTATATAATAGTTTTAAAAAAATCTATAATAGTACAAAAAATATCTTATTTTTGTTCCACTACGTATACTTTGATATACAAAATGTCTTATTTTAGTCTGTTATCTCAAAAACTTAGTTTTTTTCAAACATTTTAGAAAAAAATGTTTCATGCAATGTTGTATTGTTTGAAAGAGGTAATGTAATAACAAAATTAATTTTCGAAAAAATCATTTTTTTGAAGTTATGTGAAAAAATTAGTTTCTAGTTTTTAAATAGAATATCATATATTTGATAGCAGATTCTTATAGCTGATATCGAGATGTTTCGAAAGTAATTGCTACTGTAAACTATATTTCTTTCATAGACTTAAAACTATAGACTAAAAATTGCGGAGTAACGAGCTTGCGAGATTTACAGATCTAACTAACTGCGTAAGACGATAACTTTCGCGCGCAGTCTGCGTCAATATGTTTGTTTTTAATTGTGTATACCTCGTATATACAATGTTACATACGTAATGGCTTACTTCACGTATCATTTAGCGTCGCAGTGACGTCACGGCACTTTTTTTTGCATTGTTGCATTGTCGGTCGCCGTTTTCATTGTCTGTATTTATATGTCTATGATTTCTATTAAGAACTTGTGAAGATATAAAACGAATTTTCCAATAGTAACGATATTACAATTACGCAAAGTATTAGAGATTACATAATCAAATTATAACTGCGTACATGTCACAATACAGATCAGTTCCACAATATATATAGAATCCTAGCTATCATATGTCTTATTGCGTGAATACGCACATATGCAGAGATATAATCTGATCATGTCGAAACTTTCGCGTGATATTTTGAATTGTCATTATTGGAAAATTTGTTTTAGATTTTCGCGGATTTTCAAAAAAAAAAAAAAAAATACAAAAATGCAGGTTATTATATAAGGTTTTGGAAATGTTTCACCATGAGTTACAAGAATATGCTATCAAAAACATTAAATTTTTCTATTTAAAGAGTTGTCTACAGAGTCGCAAATCGATTCCACGCAACGAATTGGTTTAATCTTTTCTGTAACCTGCGAGAACGTTTTGTATTCTTAGCGTCTGCGACTTATGTAGACGTCACTTCAAAAAAGATAAAAACTGTCATATTAGAGCCTGGACATTTGTCGCGTATCGCCGCGACACGCGACAAAATTATATTATTTTAAATGGATGACACACAATGCGTGGCGTGTCCATCCTTTTAAAATAATGTATTTCGACTGTCGCGCTGCTGACACGCGACAAGTGTATCCATGATCTATAATTTTTGCCTGTAACATTTTTTCTGAAACAAAAAATAAATTTTTGGGAATGATAGACTTAAATGAGACTATGTGTATGTGTAATAGTATATATATATATATATATATATATATATATATATATATTTATTTATAATAGAATAAGAGATCAAGAAATAATATAATATTGTCAGATTAAGAAGAATATTTTTAAAGTGAGAAAGGTTACGCATAGAGAACGATGTGTGTATTTTTTGAATAATTAAACACATTAGTTTTGAGTAACAAAATATAATTGTCTTGAAAATAAAAATCAATCAAAGCGTATGTTTTTTAAGATCAAATTAGATTAAAAAATTTGTAGTTTATTTATACATATATATAAATAATATGAATAATATAATTGAAGATAGATGTGAATAAAATGAGATTACATAATTACCAAATACGACCCTTTGCTTCTCCTAGTGCTCCTAAAAAATCCTACTTGATCATACTTCAAGTACTACTAAAAAGCGCAATACATAGAGAACTTTATTGGTATAATAACTTCAATACATGTAAAACCTACATGTAAAACTATTGGTTATATCATCACTCCTGAAATTAACATTACTAGTTGCGTGTTGCGTTTTTTTATAACACGCCGTTCTCTATACTCTCATTATTTCACACAAAAATACGTATTATTCATCACTTACTGTTGAGTTAATATTGTATTCAGTCATATATATGCGTGCGTCTATATGTATATGTATATATATACATATATATATATATATATATATATATGTATTCGTGCATGTGTGTGCATGCACTAAGAGTGTACAAGCAATAATTTTATTATCTCAAAATAATCAGAATAATTGCACTTCCACCTGAGAGTAGATATTTTCATTTCAGCAAACAGAAAAAAAAACGCGGTCCACGGAAGAATCAGTGAGTAATTTATTCTCTAATAATTAGAACGAGCTATAGATAAATACAATCAAAAGTAAAAGTAATTGACAATAATACATACATAAGGAGATATATTTAAAATATAAAATACATCTGATAACGACTCAATTTCAGATTACCGGTTAATAAGGGAATGCGTGGACCTAGAACAAATTTTTATGAAAATAATGACGCTGGACAGATGCAAACATCTCCTTCAGCGATTATAGAAGACACGTCAACGAGTCCTTCGCAAGATATTGATAACAAGATGAAAACATTACAAATACAATCGAGAACGTAAGTATAAAAAAATCGAAATTTCCTCTGTTTTATGTATGTAGTTTTTGAAGTATGCACACAATAAACATGATATTCTTTGTCTAGACGGAGAAGTCAAGAGCATGTAGAGCATAGAGAATTGCGGAGAACTTCCAGAAACTCAGGCAGATATGTTGAAGGACAATATATGGTACATGTCAGCTATACTACAATACCTGCTAATACACATTATGTCATAAGTTGCATTGATACTAATTAATTATTTAACTTAATGTATTGCAGGAATCGGACTCCGAGTAAAGAAACATAATTCATACCGCCTTTATACTTTTTATTTTCAAATTTAGATACTTGTGATACATGTTCAAAACAGATGGATTCTACCTAAAAAGAATAAAAAATATTTAAGTTATGATAAATGATAAAACAATTACTATTACATTATAATAATCATAGACATATACATGTAGACTGAATGAGAACAGCGATCGACAATGCAATGATGCAAACAAAGTGCTGCGATGTCAATGCGACGCTAATTGATAGTGAAGTAGACCGTACGCGTGTGTGTTACGTATGTAACATTTGTATACACACACGAGATATACGCAATTAAAAACAAACAAATGTATTGCACGACGCAGACTTCGCGCGAATAAAAAAAGTTATCGTCGTACGCGAAGTTAGTTAGATCTGTAAGCGTTGCGAGCTCGTTACACCGCAATTTCTAATCTATATATATGTCTATGATAATAATTTATAATCTTTTACATACACACACGCACGCGCCCATGTATATCAGTGTATGTGTGTATGCGTGCGCGCGCGCGTGCACACACACTGATATACATGGACGTGTGCGTGCATGCATATACAGTATATATACACACATTTATTGTATATGTATATACAGTAAAGAGCATAACTGAACCAATAACCACAAATTTTGTATAAATCATTATTTATTGTTAAGAACTAAAGAATATTTAAAAAATAAACATTTACATATATTTTTGTCACAGTTAGAAATAACATAAGAAGTTGTTTCAACAATTAATGTCTTCTTATTTATTAATAGCAAAAAATAGATTGACTCGGTTTTGCACCACGTTCAAAATTCGGTAGTATTTATTATGTTATTTATTCTTAATACTTTGTCCACAATCCTTTCGTTTGCAAAACTGCACTAATTCGATTCGGCATACTCTCTATTAAATTTCTGCAATAATCTGGAGATAGTTGATACCACTGTTCTTTAATCCTAGTATACAATTCTGTGATCGATGTTGGTTGAGAATCATATGAATCCCGCATTCGCTTTTTTAATAGATTTTCTATGGGTTAAGAGGGTACTGGGGATATACCGACTATAGAGACCTGTAAACCGACTTTCTTTTATGACATTTGGTGTCATATTTACTGCATTAAATCTAAAATACTTCTACAAAAATAAGTAAATTGTGCTAAGAATGGTAAATGTTTACAATAGAGGAGACCCCTCCGATCGACTTCTTGTTTTGATACATTGTAAATATGACCTTCCTGAGTACGTTTCTAAAAGTTTTATCCGTCGCTCATTGTTTATAAAAAAGTTATGACCAAAAAAAAGGTTTCATCAATAAACTATCGTTTTTCGACACGTGTACATTTCAGAAGGAAATGAGTAATTGTTCATGTTGCCAACAATGTGTGTATATGTAACATATCCCGAAACTTTCTGTTTTGTTTTCATTTCTTCGTTCGTATTCGTCCCGAATGTATAATTTTGATACTAGATTGATTGACGATTTGTTTTCATTTCTTCATTGTAAGCGTGTAGGCAGGGGGGGCTGCGCCCCCCTGCACCCCTAAAAAACCCAACCTAACCCTAACCTAAACTCATCTTTCTGCATTCTCCCTCGCAAAATTTCCACACTGGTTAACCTAACCTATGTTACTACACTATCAATAGAAATGAGTAAAACTTGCGAGGGGGAATGCAGCATATATGTAATACTCCTATATTGCTAGTACGGTGCCGACATGAAGCTCACCGTTACGGTGCAGACAATATAGTAGCCTCTCTCTCCAGCTGCTTTGTGCGCATGCGGTGAACATTCAAGCACGCTTGCGCATTTCTCTTTCTCGCGTTCTTTCTCTCACTTTCTAATGCTTTGTCTCGCTCGCACTCACTTGGTAGATGCGCCTGCGCATAATGACGCTCGACCATCTATGCCTATATTTGGACTTCGTGCGTCTCCCTTTCTCGGGCCTCGTGCCTCTCATTGCGAAGATGGTGGTTACTGGTGCTCTTATGGCTCAGTGGACCCTTACAGCTAGTCCATACGCCATTCTAAGTCTTCATTGAAGTTAGGATTAAAACCGTGGTTTCCACACGTGATCACGGAGTATTACGATAGAGTAGTTTCCACAGTTGGTTTTAAGGTATTAACACATGCTGCGGGTGGGGAGATTTAATCCCCGTATGAGAGGTTCGGAGCACAGCTCCAATCAGACGGTCGAACTGAGTTAGGGGGATTGTAGGAGAAATGGGTAGAGGGAGATTTCAGTCTGTGCGATGAACGTAAGCTTAGATGGATATCTGCTCTCATTGCAAAGATACGCGACTAGCCACGGCTGGAATGCAGGAAGAAGAGTTTAGGTTAGGGTTAGGTTAGGATTTTTAGGGAGGGTGCAGGGGGCGTAGCCCCCCCTGCTTATATGTTTACAACACACACAAAATGTACACGGTGTCGAAAAACGATAGTTTAGTCATCAAACTTTTTTTGTTCATAACTTTTTTATAAACAATGAGCGACGGATAAAACTTTTAGAAACGTACTCAGAAAGGTCATATTTACAATGTATAAAAACAAGAAGCCGATCGGAGGGGTCTCCCCTATTGTAAACATTTACCCTGACTATATATTCATTTATGTAGAATAAAATATAAAGTGTGTGATACTCTAAGGAACAAAATATAAAATGTGTGATACTCTAAAAACTTACCTCTTTGAAAAAAGGTAAAAAAAGGTAAAAACAGGCACCAAGTATACGCACAACACGTATTGTATTTAAATTAAATTATTTCTTTATTTATACTCCAAAAACTTCTTTCTCTATAAAACCTGTTTTACAACATTTATATACTACAAAACATTCTTTCTCTAAAGGTACCTTTTCGTACAGCAGCACGCTGCGGCAGCAAAACGTCACGTGACTCAAATTTTCTAGGACTGCTTCCGCTAGGTATAGTTGTTGCTCTTACCTAATCCTCATGCCAATTTGATACCATTTTTTGTTTTTGATGAAATTATATAATGAAGTTTCGAAGAGTGAAATTATATAATTATTGCATAAGTATCAACAATAAAATTTTTTCGGTTTGCTGCTTTTTGTTCGTTTGAAACGCAGACAATGGCATCGAGTGAGAGTTAGGTAAGAGCAGCAAATATACCTAGCGGAAGCAGTCCTAGAAAATTTGAGTCACGTGACGTTTTGCTGCCGCAGCGTGCTGCTGTATGAAAAGGTACCTTAAAAACCCGTTTTACAAAAAAAGTGATATCACAAAGTAGCACCAGTAAATTTAGTACGTTACTTTTGTATTAGGTGCGCAACTAAGTTCTCGCTGTTTGTCAATAGATAGCTCCAGCAGTAAGTGCTGATCGATTTTGACATATCCAAAACGTCACGAGCCAAGCTTAGACATATGGTAAACAAACCGCTTTGACACGTTAGTGATTTTGTTTTAGCGTCATATACTTTCGGTTGTGTGAAAATGTCTGATTTTGTACCAAATAATCGTCATTTGCGGGAAGTGTTGATTTTCTTATTTCATTCGAAGAAAACGGCGGCTGAAGCGCATCGAGAGCTCCAAAAAGTTTACGGAGATGCTGCTCTAAGTGAAACAACGTGCCGTGATTAGTTCCGTCGCTTCAAAGACGGTGATTTCGATGTTGACAACCGTCCGCGTGAAGGAAGGCCAAAAACCTTCGAAGACGCTGAATTTGGAGGCATTGCTCGATGAGGATCCATGCCAAACGCAAAAACAGCTTGCTTCAGCATTAGGAGTTACCCGCCAAGCCATTTCCAAGCGATTGCATGCGAAAAACGGCCACAATACGAGCAGAGGCACGAAAAAGTGATTTTACTGCATGACAACGCTCGGCCTCATGTTGCCAAACCCGTTAAAACCTACGTGGAAACGCTCAAATGGGAAGTNCTACCCCACCCGCCATATTCTCCAGATATTGCGCCGTCCGATTATTACTTGTTCCGTTCGATGGCACATGGTCTGGCTGATCAGCAGTTCCGCTCATATGAAAACATCAAAAAATGGCTTGATTCGTGGATAGACTCAAAAGACGAGCACTTTTACCGTAATGGTATTCGAGCTCTGCCAGAAAAATGGGAAAAAGTTGTAGCTACCGATAGGCAATACTTTGAATGATTCATTTGTAACCATTTTTTCACAATAAAGTTGCATTTTCAAAAAAATAAAAAAATAAAAAAACAGCGAGAACTTAGTTGCGCACCTAATACATTATTATTCTAATCTAAGTATACATAACTACTTTGTTAAGTTTTTGTTACGGAAAAAATTTTGAAAGAAAGACTTGTCTGGGCCTATTAAATTAACAAAAGGATTTGTAGTGAAACTAACAAGCAGACCCAGCAAAACTTTACTTTCCGTGAAAAACAAAAGAAAAAGAAAAAATTTTGTCAAAATAAAAAATATTTTATGCAAAAAAACTTGGCGCGGCTGCACCAAAAAGTTATTTACAGACAGACATATCTTACATGTGCACATGTAAGTATCAAACTGCCGTGCATATAAAAATTTCAGTTCATTATATTTGAGGTGCAGCCGCTCTATGTTTTTTTGCATTAAATATTTTTTATTTTGACAAAATTTGGAATTTCATACTTATTAAGTCGAAAAATAGGCGTCAAAACGACGATTAGGACGCGCTTGACTTGACGTGCACGCGACACTCGAGTTGTCATACGCGCGAACGAGATTACTGATCACGTTGGATTATTTTCGGAGCAATTAATTCACCGGTCGATGCATTGTAGATACGTATTCGCGTCATGTCGCGAGTTTTTCACTAAGCTTAAGCAACAGTTAAATTTCTGCTATTACGTTGCTGTTACTTGTTACGTATTACGGTATTTGTTAATATATCGTAAATTCTATCGAAAGATCACTCAAATTTCGTAGAGGTTATGTAGCGCATTATAAACATTCGCGTGATTGTTAATAGTACGTAGTAGTTTTATTTAGCAACGTGTCTCTTCAGTCTCTTGTATTTATATATGTGTTATAAATTTTTTAATATAGTTATACTATTTAATATAGTTATACTATTTTATTATTTTTTCCATACAGATTGAGTTTTTTTTTTATGACAAATGTGTGAATTGTTGACTTAGTGAGGTTTAATTTTATAAAATATGATGAAGCTAGTTGTGCCAAGAGTATATTAGACAAGATTTGTATCTTTACAATGTGTGAGTATGATATAAATTTTCTATTGCATGACATCACATGCTTAGATATAATAAATAAGATTATATCACACACAAACTTCATTATTTATAATAAATAAGATTAGAATATGATAATATAAGACTTGCATTTTTAGTTGTCAGCAAAGCCAAAAGCTATACTCGATGATAAAACATTAAATTTGATTTCTAACAATAGCCTAAAATATAGGCATCATCCTGGTATTGTCAAACCTAGAACACCAGTATTCTCAGCATGAGCATCAAAGGAAATAGAAAATATCTTAAAAGGTACGGAATACACAATTGTGTATATCATTAATATGTTCACAAACATTTATATAATAATATATTGTAAAGTTGTCATAGTATTGTGTAACATTTGTCATAATATATAAAAGATAACTTGTGTACACTATTTTATAATATTACTTTTCAGAAAAAAAATAACATAAGCTTGAAAGAATTGAAAGAAAGTGTAAAAAAATTATTTCGCCATTTGCATGGTTGCCATTCGCCGCTGAAGCAATCACAACTGCCAGAAAAATTACAAAAAGTAGAAGAATGTTTGAATGCTAATTGTAATCAGAAAATATCTATAGAAGACATAGATTTCGTACGGATAGAAGAGCAAGGCAAATTTTGAAGACCAATGTATACAATTGGCAACCAATTAATTTTGATAAGCTCACTTACGTATCTGCTTGATAGAGAAGTTCAAAATTATGCGGTTATATATGTAGAATTCTGGATGAGATCAGAACACGTGACAAAGAATTCAAGCCTAGAAGACAATTTGACTTTGGCTCTGGTCTTGGTACGGACATGTGGTAAATGTCAAAATATCATGTAAACTTCAAAAATACTAATCTAATATATAATTGTTATGCAAACTTGGCTAGCACATCTAAGAAATAAAATAACAAACATTTTGATAAGACTGCTTTCGAAATTTGGTCAGATTTGTTACAGAATATCTTTGTATCAAAGTATTGGAATTAATTACACAGCCACACAAAAAAAAAAATTTCTTT